TGGACAGTGGTGGGGCAGATGGATCTCCGAGTTCAAGGCCAGCCTGGTCTACAGAGTGAGTTTCAGGATAGCCAGGGCTACACAGAGAAACCCTGTCTCAAAAAAACCAAAAAAATAAAAATCTTCAGCTAATGCTGTCAAAAACAATAAGTACTGAGGGTTTGCTGCTGCACACCTTTAATTCTAGCACACCTAGAGGGTTTGCTGTTGCACACCTTTAATTCTAGCATTCAGGAGGCAGAGGCAAGTAGATCTCTTAGTTCAAGGCCAGCCTGGTCTACAGAGTGAGTTCCAGGACAGGCAGGACTACATAGAGAAACCCTGTCTTGAAAAGAAGTATCTATAAGGACTAATTTCCGGCTGGAAAGATGGCTCAGAGTTTAAGAGCACTGACTGCTCTTCCAGAGGTCCTGAGTTCAATTCCCAGCAACCAACCACATGGTGGCTCACAACCATCCATTATGAGATCTGGTGCCCTCTTCTGGTGTGCAGATATACATGGAAGCAGAATATTGTATACATAATAAATAAATAAAATATATATATATAAATATGGACTAACTTCTTTCTACTATTCTATAATCTTCCAGTTTTCCTTCACTGCTCTAGATTATTAAGATTGGAGCCAAGGCTGGTCTTTCAAACTGTAATCCTAGCACTTGGAACATGGAGTCAGGAGGATCAAAGTCAGCTTCAGCTGTATAGCAAGTATAAGACCAGTATGCCACACAAGCCCCTATGGGTCGTGCATGCGCGCCCCCTCCACCCCCACCCCAAGACAGGGTTTCTCTGTGTAACAGCTCTGGCTGTCTGGGAACTTGATTTGTAAATCAGGCTGACCTGGAACTCACAAGAGATCCACCTGCCTCTGCCTCCTGAGTTCTGGGATTAAAGGTGTGTGTCACCACTGCCTGGCTAAGGCCCTGTCTTATTTTACTCAGCCTGAGTGTTATTTTATTCAGTCTCTCTGCCTCTGAGAACCACTTTCAAAGTAGACTTTTGAAGTAGATTGGGACATGTCCCGTGTATGGGTAGCTAAGAATAGAAAGGCTAGTTTTTCCTGAGGATGGGAATGAGGCACACACTTGCATGCTCCCCAGGCTCCTGGGAAGCGGAATATATGTGGGACAATAGGAAGTAAAAAAAATTTTCTTATGATGTGATTTTTTTTTCTTTGTCTGACATGAGGCAGGTTAACTTACCTATAAAGATTCACACACTGCAATAAGCACCTGGTATCAAGAGAAAACACTGAGCAACAGCTTTTTTTTTTTTTTTTTTTTTTTTTTTTTTTTTTTTTGTTGCTGTTCTAAAGAGATCCAAATGGCAGTTCTGCTAAAGTTTGTTTCAGAAGGGGACAACATCCCAGATGCCATCAGCCTTGTTGAGTATCTTAATGAATGGATTCAAATACTCAAACCATCTGTAAGTCTGATCTGAGTCATTCTCTGTATATTAACTTGATTTTATGTATAAGTAGTCTAAAGAGGTGAAAGTGTACAAAAAATACACATCTTTACATAAAGTTTAGTTTGAGCCAAACTTAAATATAAGTGAGGACAGTTAACTAATCTGTTATCTCATCATTTGATGAAGGCAGATTTCCAGACAGGAAGGTCTAATTCCTCAGTGTGCTCACTTTATATCACTGTATTTGTGACAGCATCTTTTAGTTTTGTCGTTTTATTTGGTTGGTTGGTTTAGTTTTTGAGACAGGTTCTCTGTATGTATTTCTGACTGTTCTGAAGTTTGCTATATAGACCAAGCTGGCCTTGAACTCAGATCCACCTGCTTCTGCCTCCCAGTGCTGGATTAAAGATATGTGCCTTCATGTCCTGCCCCAGACAGCTTCTTATATTAATAAACTAGAATTCTGTGCAGTTCAGTGCACATTAATGTGTTGCTGTGGCCATGTGATCAGTACCATGGCTATTGAATATGCTCTAATTAACATATTTTCCCCTCTGGTGAAATGAATGCTATACTCTTAGTTGGGTATTCTGTTGCTGCAACAAAAGACCTTGACCAAAAAGCAAGTTGAGGAGGAAAGGGTTTATTCAGCTTATACTTGAGCGTTGCTGTTCATCACTGAAGAAAGTCAGGACAGGAACTCAAACAGGGCAGGGTCCTAGAGGTAGAAGCTGATGCAGAGGCATGGAGGGGTGCTGTTTACTGCTTGCTTCCATGGCTTGCTCAGTCTGCTTTCTTACAGAACCCAGGACCACCAGCCCAGGGATGACACTACCCACCATTGGCTGGGCCCTCCCCCATTGATCACTTATTGAGAAGATGCCTTACTGCTGGATTTCATGGAGTCATTTCCTCAGCTGAGGCTCCTTCCTCTCGGGTGACTCTAGCCTGTGTCAAATTGACACAGAATGAGTCTTTAGGCCTTACAAATCATTAAGAGCCAGGAATGTTGCACAACTTTAATCCCAGCATTCAGGCTAGAAGCAGGAACAGACAGATTAAGTTTGAGGCCAGCCTGTCTACACAGATAGTTCAAGGACAGTCAGAGCTACATGGTGAGACCTTGTCTCAACCCCTCCCCCCAAATCTGCAAGTCACTTTATTTCTGTTAAGCAACCTGCACAGCCACCCCATTTTTAATAGACATCTGTCTGGCTTCAAACTCCTATAATTATATGAGTTCTATAACTATGGCTGCCTCTACCTTCCCAGTGCTGGTACCACAGTGGTACACCACCATGCTCACCCCATGTTCCTTTTGAATTTGATTTACTTAATACATTGTATTATCTGTAGCTGTTCTGGCATTTATTTGAGATGAAACTTAAAAACATTATTTTATATAAAGATGTAGAAAACTTGTTGCTTTAATTTTCCTAATAATGAAGACAAGGTACAAGTGTCAGAACCTTTTGGTTCTTTTGAGAGATTTGAGTGACAAGATTAAGGATGAAAGTATCATTTACTGTTCTTTTACAGAGTGACAGACATACATCTGCCTTGCCATGGAAGATCCCTAGCTCTTGGCAGCTCCTCTTTGGCAGTGGACTTCCTCCTGCACTGTTTTGATGGGTTTCCAGCCTTCTCCCTCATCCCAAAGAGATCACAAAATGAACTATAGAATGTATGCTACACAGAAATTTGTGCTGCCTTGGGGTATATTAGAAATGTCTTTCACAGAAAAGCCTCAAAGAAGAGAGGTTTCAGTTGTTACACGTGATACATACAGTAAATGTAAATTTTGTACAATAAAACTTTATTTCTTAAGCAGAGTATCTGAAAAGTATCCCCTTTTTTATTTTGTTTTATTTTATTTTTATTTTGGGTGGGGGGTTTTCGAGGCAGGGTTTCTCTGTGGCTTTGGAGGCTGAAAAGTATCCCTTTTTAAATCAGTACTGTACTCACATCCTATTTCTAGTATAATAAATTATCACAAGCTGCTATCAGAACTTCTTTTCTGGAGGATGATCTGATGATTACTACAGTGATTCCAAAATAAAACTAGGAAGAGTAAAGGCTACTTCTTAAACTGAGCAGTCTTTTTTTTTTTTTTTTTTTTTTTTTTAAGATTTTTTTAAAGTAACTTCCATTGTCCTGGAAGTCAGACTGGCCTCAAACTCAGATCTGCCTGCCTGTACCTCCTTGCTGGGATTAAAAGCCTGTGCTACCGACACCTGGCCAAACCAAGCAATTCTTAAAAAAATTTAGCAGAGGGGCTGGAGAGATCGCCCAGTGGTTAAGAGCATTCCTTTTCTTCCAAAGGTCCTGAGTTCAATTCCCAGCACCCACATGGCAGCCCACAACTTCCTGATGCCCTCTTCTCTTCATGCATGCAGACAAAATGCTCATATACATAAAATAAAAATAGTTACATGCAGTAAACATCAGGGCTTGCAGTTTTATGCAATAAGCACTAATGGACATAAGAAGTTAGTCTAGAGGCTGGAGAAATGGCTCAGAGGGTAAGAGCACTGGCTGCTCTTCCAGAGGTCCTGAGTTCAATTCCCAGCAACCACATGTTGTCTCACAACCATGTGTAATGAGATCTGGTGCACTCTTCTGACCTGCAGGCATACATATAGGCAGGACACTATACATGATAAATAAATCTTTTTTAAAAAAGAAGTTAGTCTGGTCCTGATAGAACAATAGTGGATGACTTCAGTATCTTGCTGTTAATGTTTCCATGTATTATCCAAGCAAAATCAATGAAGAAACTTCAAGTTAAACTCTAACGTAGACCAAATGGACTTAATAGACTTCCATCAAGCACACCTCTCATAGGCAGCCTGTGGGACCTCTAACAATGGCTATATTCCATGCCACTGAGCAAGTCTTAACAAATATCAAAAAAAAAAGGAAAAGAAAAATAATTTATGAACTCTTAGTGTGAAAAAACTAGGTATCAAGTCCAGAAAGATGGGCAAAGATGCTTGCTGCCAAGCCTGACAAAGCATGAGTTCAAGTCCCACATGAATCAGTTCCCTCAGCTTGCCTGGGAAGCACAGCAGATCAGCCATGACCCTCTTAGCCTACATCTTTCACATGTAGGGACCATGGTAAGTGTGTTAGGGATTCAGAGCAGCTCAGCCCAGATGTGCACACAGTGTCTAACTAAAGAGCAGAATGGGCTTCTCGAGTGTCTCTGTGAGGCTGGGAATGAGAAATGAGTTCTGGCCTGCCTTGACCCAGACACATGATGACTTTCTTTCTTTTTTTTTTTTTTTTTTTTTTTTTTCGAGACAGGGTTTCTCTGTGTAGCTTTGGAGCCTATCCTGGCACTTGCTCTGGAGACCAGGCTGGCCTTGAACTCACAGAGATCCATCCGCCTGCCTTTGTCTCTGGAGTGCTGGGATTAAAGGCATGTGCCGACAACGCCCGGCCCACATGATGACTTTCATTCCTAGTATGTGCCCAGTAGACTCAGACAAGTTAGAGGCATAGGTGTCTGTCAAAAGCTCAGCTATCCTGGATACAGCACATCCAGTGCAGGACTGCTTTTCAGTCTTAAGAGAAAGATTTACAGGTCACTGATTTCATTGATGGCTCAGTGGTTAAGAGCACCAGCTGCTCTCTCAGAAGACCTAGGTTCAATTCCCAGCAACCACAAAAAGGCTCATAATTGTCTTAACTCCAGTTCCAGGGGATCTAACACCTTCACACAGACATACATGTAAGCAAAACTCCAATGTACATAAAATAAAAATAAATACATTTAGAAAAATCACAGATTTCAAACCTTCCAGTCTCCTCCAAAATTTGCAACATAATAGCTCAGAATTCTAACATATTTTCATTAGTATGTTGTTCTGAGAGAAGAAGATTGGACTGACAAAAGCAAAGGGGGGGGTGGAGGCGCAGTAAATAAATGTACTAAATAAACTTGTCAATTTCAGATAATTTTGAAAAGTTATCATTTAGAAAATGTTTATAGACAATGTCTTTTGTTGTTATAACAAAATTCCCCTAGGCAGTGAGCTTTATGAGGAAAAAAGTAATCTCATCTCTAGGCTGGTTGTCATATAACAAGTTACTCTGAGGGAAACTAATCTACTTTTAGGAGGTCTACTTCAATCACTTCCCGTGAGGCTCAACCTCTTAACAACAACCTCTCAATGTCCTCCAATTGGAGTCAAGATCCCAGTCGATAAATGTTTGAGGGACCAACCACCACCTGGAAGACACAGCAGCCAGGCACCAGTCTGGCACTACAGACCCCTCCAGATGGCATCTTGTGGTATTAGTAAATGTGAATGAACTCCCCTCAGGCCTGTGCCTCACAGACCCCAGCCTGCTGAACCACTTCCTGCCCCTGTACGTATTTGTTGGGCATGGCCTAAGCTCCAAGAAATCTTCTGGACTTCACTTTACATAAGGAGCCAACCAGGCTCTGTACTCCCTGGTCAGCCATCTGTCTTCACACACAGGCCCCTAGCCAGGTACCTTTCTTTATGGCTGACTGCTGAACTGTGTGGAAACATCAACTGGAGGCTGGGTTTGCAGTCTCATATATGCTCAAGCCATGCCCAGTTAGAGCACTTCCTGTTGCCTGAGTGTCAAGATGTAGGACTCTCTGCTGCTTCTCCAGCACCATGTCTGCCTGCACACCGCTATGTCACACCATTATGATAACGGACTAAATCTCTGAAAACGTAAGCCACCCCAACTAAATGTTTTTACTTTATAAGGGTTGCTGTGGTCACGGTCTCTCTTCCCAGCAACAGAAAATCTAAGACAAAAGTTGGTACCAGGGACAGAGGGTATTGCGGTGATAGGCCTAACCATGCTTTTATTTTAAGGAATATGGACCTTGGGACTATGGATCAGGAAAGCAGTTGAATGCTTTAAGTGCTGCTAAATGGGGCATATTAGTAAAACCATGGAAGACAGCCATGCTGAGTTATTTGAACCATGGAGACCTTGGTCAAGAGGTTTCAGAGAACATGGTAGTGGCACATGCCTTTAGTCCCAGCACTCAGGAGGCAGAGTAAGGCAGATCTCTGTGAGTTCCAGGCCAGCCTAGTCTACAAGAGTGAGTTCCAGGACATGTCTCAAAAAACAAACAAAAAGAGGTTTCAGACAAGAATTTTAGTGTGTGGCCTAGAGAAGGTTCTTGTGATATTTTGGTAAAAAAAAAATGGCTGCCCTTGTCCAAAGAGTCTGCCTGAGGCTAAAGTGAAGAGTTTTGGATTAATTCTGTTGGCAAAGGACATCTCAAAACAACCTAGTATAGACTCTGTCATATGGTTACTAGTGGTAACTCAAAGATTTACAAGGAAAAGGAACAATCTGCAGGGTAAATTATAAAATATAAATTTTGAGAAAAGGAGCACCAGGAAATGTAATGAATCTAAATCCTGTAGTCAAGGAGATAAACAGATAAAGAAATGGAAAAAAAAGGAGTGGTGATCTCAGGGCAAGATCCACCCACCAATGTTTCCAATTTGTGAAAAGGAACCAAAGAAAATATAAAGCAGGGTGGTGATGGAGCACAACTTTAATCCCAGCACTGGGAAGGCAAATAGAGGTTGGTGGATCTCCAGTTTGTAGCCAGCCGGGTCTACAGACCCAGGTCCAGAACAGTCAAGTTTAGGCAGTGAAGGAAACCATCAAAACCAGAAAGCTGGTGAAGATCTAATTGAACAAGGGGACCATGTTCCATCCCCAGCAAGCAGCAGAACTTGGCAGCTCTGGCCACATGGTTTTGTTTGTTTTTATTGTTTTTTTTTTTTTTTTTTTTTTTTTTTTTTTTTTTTTTTTATTTTTTTTTTTTTTTTTTTTTGTTTTTGGCTTCTTGAGACAGGGTTTCTCTGTGTAGCTTTGGAGCCTGTTCTGGAACTTGCTTTGTACACCAGGCTGGCCTCAAACTCAGAGATCTGATTGCCTCTGCCTCCTAAGTGCTGGGACTAAACGAGTTCGCCACTACCACTATCCAATGGCCACATGGTTTTGGAGTTAAGAATAGAAGGGGTGATGGAATCTCTTTCAACGCCTAAGGACATCAGCTAAGGCCAGGCATGTGTCAGGGGTGTCCCTGAATGGAAGCTAAAGAGGCCATTTCGAGAAGCTGTGAAGGTGAAACCTGGATTGTCTTTGAGAACCCAGGATGTTAGAGATGCCAGAGTCATGAGATACTGAGGAGAGCTGCTAACACAGAGTACCACCAGCCCAAAAGAAAGAAGTGTGTTGCAGTCAACAAAGCTGAAAGGAGTTGGAGACCTAAGAGTGTTTTGACATCAGACATGGAGATTCAGAGTTTGGAGTTTGCCCAGCTAGTTTTCTGCCTTTTATTTTATGTGTATGAATACACTTCTGGGCAGGTTGGTGAGGACATTCTGAGAGGTTTGACTGAAGAGATCTACCCTGAATGTGGGCAGCACGTTCCCACTGGGGTTCTGAACTAAGTTAAAAAAAAAGGGGGGGGGGGAGCACCAGCATTCCTCTCTCTGCTTCCTGTCTGTGGGCACAAGGTGACCAGCTGCCTCATGCCCCTGCTGCTGTCTCCCGTCATGATGGATGATACCATCAAACTATGAGCCAAAATCAACTCTTTTATAGCTGATATAGGAAAGAACATGAAGCCTTACACTTGGGAGTCAAGGAAAGTACTTTCCATTACACTCAGAGGAAGGTGTAATCTCAGGGCTGGAAGGAACCTTGTATTCAAGCCTGGAATGCCAGTGCCCTCAGAGGCCAGAAGGCATCAGATTCTCTGAAATTTTATTTATAGGCTCTGTTTTCTTTTTGGGACAGGGTTTCTCTGTAATTTTGGAGGCTGTCCTGAAACTGCTCAGTAGACCAGGCAGGCCTGGAACTCAGAGATCTGCTTGTCCCTTCCTCCTAAAGGCATGCACCACCACTGCCCAGCCACAAGTAGATTTTTAAAGGATGAAACAGGTATACTTATGATTTACTACCTGGAAACTACTGCATGATTTGAGTTTCTTCAACACCAAAAGGGTTACAGTCATCTGATATTCCAAACACACCACTTACTGTTCAAATTAGATGGGAAATAAAGAAATCACAAGTGGGAAGGAACCTCTAACATCTTTACATAAGGAAATGTTTGGGAAGGCACAATGTCCAATACAGGACAACTGAGATGCTTAAAGCGTCAAATGCTGTGCCTACTGAACTGAATGTTGACCACAAAGCAATACTATGACTAAGATTAATGTTGTACTAAATGACAAGGGCAATATTTTAACTTTTCTGTGTTGCTTTTGCCTAACCAGTACTACTTAGGATAGAAAGACTATTGAAGGGTAACTGAAGCTAAGTGACCTTTATTTTGAACTGATTTCAATTTAAATGTTAATTTCTAATTATAAAAAAATTTGGGTAAACCCATGAGAAAATATTCATAATTTGAATTGGAGCTGTCTTAAGATAACACACACACAAAACAACATAGTCTATTTAATAAAAATATTTAATGCTGCCAAAAAGTATAAAAATACATTAGGAATGGCAGTACTATACAAAGTAGTCTCTCCTGTTTTATTTCCTTTACATCTTTCTACATTTCATACACATTAAAAAACAATACATCAAATTAAAGAGTAAGTCTTCTGCTGGTGGTGTTCTTCATCCCCTGGATGTAAAGCTTACTTTGTAAACAGACAACTTGTGAGGCAATCTACAGGGTTAGCAAGCCTCACTTTAGTTTCCGGAGTGGGCTTCAGGTCTTGCTTTGCACATCAAAGGTTCAAAATTTATAGCTGCAGAATAGTCTCAAGTCATGAATATTTAGGTGTCTGTCAATCTTGGCCTAAAACATAAAATGAGAAGTCATCTATTCAATTCATATTTACCATACACACAGATGTACATAGATACAAACATGAAAGGCCTAACACTGAACTGAAAAGTCAACCAAAAACCATTCCAACATGTCACATCTAGTCACACCAAGGTTTTCCCAAAATGGTGGATTTCCAAATAGAAGTAGTGGTGTGATACAGACTGATGTGATACACGGTAACTTACTTCTTCAATAACTACTGAATCATTTAGGCCATCCTGTTTTATCCAAGAAATGACCTCTATATAATATACCAAGAGACAGACAAGTTTAAAAAATAACGTAGCCACAGAATATAGCAAGATTTTATTATATGTGCTAGACTTACCCATACTTTGACTTCAATGCAAAAGTCTAATCCAGTTTGGATAATCACTGTAACACTGCTAGAAAGTTTAAATATAAAGTTTGGACATAAAGTTGGCTTGTACCTTTAAATCAGATTTTCAACCTTTATATTTTCTCCTGAAGGATAACGCTAATGATTATAACTAGTAAGGTAAGTAAAGCATGACAATCAGTGCACTTTAATGTCAAAAGTAAAATGAAAAAAATAAAAGAAGGCATTTAAACAAAGAGACAGAGGGTGTGACTGTTAAAAGCAGTAGTTTTTGCTGGTATTTCTCAATTATTTGCCAAACCTTTTGGGATGTTAAAGGTATTAACATTGTTGCAGCAACTCCCTTATCCCGTCCCACCCCTTCTTTTTCTCACACACAGACGACAATGTAAATGCTTGTTACTTTTGTATCACCACTATGTATAAATAGGAAATGAATCAGATCTCCTCCATTTAGGGTCCCTCTCCCCAATCATGAAAAGGAAAGATTCTTCATGCCTACTGGCTTGTTCTTCCAAAGGCAGGCAGCTCTACCAAGCACCTGTGGTGGTCTACAAAGTCTTGTTTGGTTGCCCAACATTGATTACTCCATAGTATTGGCATTAGGAAACCATAATCTGGTCAAAGAGAAACCATGCCCACAGCAGAATGTGGTATGTAATAAAGTTTCTGATGCTCCATTGCCACAAAGTATTTTAAGAGCAACTTTTTCCCCCTTTCACTTAAAGCAAATTCATTTGGATTTTTAGTCAAGAATGAGCTGTCCACCATTTCCCCACTTAAATGTCTGGTTTAAGTAAATACTTGAACTAAAGAACTATGGTTGGACATAATGAGAAAAGCCTGGGTCTTTAGTTGCTGAAACCACAGCCTGGAGTTTGCATCTCAGCGTTATGTGCACTAAGCCATCATGCATGAGTTACTTCTGACTTAAGGGTGGTACTGTCTAAAGTGTCAAAAAACCTAAATTTAGGTTAAGTAGTGTTTATTAAATATACATTTACCAAGAATAATAAATAATAAATTTGCCACTTAACAATAGACAAAGTATGGTTTTTAAAACTCATTACTTCCTTGAAAATAGTGTTTAGAGCTAACAAAGTAAGAGGAGATTGTTGGAATAACTTCTAGGAAATGACTTTATTTTAAGACTGGCAAGCGGGCTTTTTAGATAATATTTACTTGGATGGATCTTTACCACTTCATTTCTAATAAGGCAAAAGTAAAATGGGTCCAAGCAAATCAAGTGGAATGAGCTGTATGGGTGTCCTAAGTGCCAGCTGTCTCCATGCTGCTGCTGCAGACGCTGGACAGGGACAGAGAAAGTCATGCTATGAGAGGTTTACACTACGATCCTACTGAGATCATCCAGTGCTAACCACAGTAAGCCAAGCATGCTTTAAAGGAACTTACCCAGGCTTCCTCTACTGAACTTTCCAAACTCAAAGATTTTTTTAGTCATTTAAAATGTCAACAGCATCATGAGTCTGAAAAATCTATGCCTAATTGAGTGACAAAGAATAATTTATTGCTTCTTAAAAGTGGTCTCTATAAAGGGAAAAAAAAATCCCATGCAATTCTCCTTGCAGTAGCCCCAAGGAGCCCCTACAGGTGATAGCCTCACAACTCACTGCTCATAACCACTGTGAGGCTCTTTAAATACTAAATATTAGCCTTCACAAAGACCATTAGGCAGACCAAACTTTCCATTTAAGCCCTGCTTACATTGGCAATGGCAGTATACTGGGGCAGTGACAGCAAAGAAAAAAAAAAAAAAGAAAAAGAAAAAAAAAAAACAACAAAAACCAACTGGCAAAGGACAATGGGTCTTGCCTGTAGCCATAGCTGAGAGAAAGTTGCATGGCTTGAAGCTGTCCTATGGCCCAGGAAGGAGGAACACACTGGCCGTGTAGCAAGTCATATGACTGGGAACTGACTCCCAGGCAGAGCAGGAATGGAGGAGAACACAACCCGAGTTTCTCCTTCCATACTCAGTGGGACAATTACAGAACTGTAATTTCAGGTGTAAATGCTAGACTGTGCTGATATTGTCTGATAAAAACTGAAGACCAGCTGGGCAGTGGTGGCATATGCCTTTAATCACAGCACTTGGGAGGCAGAGGCAGGTGGATCTCTCTGAGTTCCAGGACAGCCTGGTCTACAAAGTGAGTTCTAGAACAGTCAGAGCTGTTACACAGAGAATACGCTGTCTTGAAAAACAAAAACCAAACTGAAGACCAGTATTTGAGGAGGAAATGGCATCAGACCCATCAAGTGAATTCAAGGAAAGAATGGATGAACAGGTCTCCTCTGGAGTAAGCCATTGTCAATAACCAAGACCTGCATTTCATGTTATGAAACGACAAATTTAGTGAGGAAAAAACATTTATACTTTGAAATGTATATACAAGATTCTGGGACAAAGCTATATAAAGGAAGCTGTTGAATTATAAACAAAATGCGCATCTCTGTTGGCAGTTAGTTCCAAACTCAACAGATGGATCAAGTTCAGCCAGATTAAAGCCCTCAAGAGTCCTTCCTTCCTACCAGACACCAAACTACACAGAATCCATGCCACAGCTACATATGCTACTCCTCAGGACCCAGGGATGGCTCTACTAGAAGGAAATGTGAACAGAGTTTGACTAAAAGCCTGAAATCTTATCTGAACATTTAAAAAAAAAAAAAAAAAAAAACGGGCTACACATCTAAGGACATCTGGTAAAGACTACAGCTTTTAAAAAAAGTTTCTTCAAGATTTATATTAGAATGCTGTGTACAGTATCATTTGCCTGAGGTGTTAGCTACTCAACAGGTTCAAGTAGGAAGGTCATTTAAACTGAGAAGATTAAGGCCATGCTTGGGAAACAGTAAGGCCCTGTCTCAAAACAAAACAAAAAAAAAATGAATTAATCAATAAACTGACCCAACATCCAGCACAAATAAAGAGTTGTATCTATAAGTAAAAATTAAGGCAATGTAGATTTTTAATCTGTGAAATGACTTGATAGGCATACCTAGTAATGTAAATTTGTCAAATTAATTATATGACCAATAAGAGTACTTTACTACCATCAGGTTCCATTCTCTATGTAGAATCTAGTCAAAGATAGTTTCAAAGATATCAGCAGGGGTCTTTCTGTGCCTGGCAGAAAAATGGTGGTCACTACCCCAGGAACTGGTGCTGAGAGCACAGAAGGAAGTGATGTGAAAACAAGAGGGCTGTCCCATGTTGTAACTAAAAATGTGGACCTATTTTTTTATTCTTAACATCAACTCTAGTTGAAAACAGAACAAGCCAGTGCATGTCAAGTGAACTCAGAGATTAGGACTTTTTACTCCGATGGACTTGTAAAGCACAGCTGTTTCAACAGAAATTGATTACACAGGTTCTCACTTTTCCTTTTCCTGGTCACTCTTTGGTACAAATGCTAACACATAATGAAATGGATAAAAAGAGAGACGAACAAGATGTAAAAAACCTGACAAATGTGTAAGAGTCTCGGCTGAACACGACAAATGGCCTTTACATATAAATACAATTAAAAAGAACTGTATCTTTACATTTTATGTTTGAGTAAGCATAGATAGAAATCAGTAAGCAGATATAACACAGTACCTTGGAAAGGCATATATAACCGCAGGTGTAGCCACTGATCATGGTATTAAAGCAACGCAGGAAGAGATAGGGATTAAGAATTCTTTTCTGTAAATTTAAGCCCCTTTAAAAATACCTTTTCTTCTCCCAATTTATTAAGAAAGGCAGAATTTGATTGAAGTCAAACTACTCCTAAATTAGTTACAATCAGTAAACATCATGAGACTGATACACATGGTTAAAAGATGCTTAAAGATGCAGAACCACCAGAGACTGCTAACTCCCCTTTTCTGGCTAGCAAGACAGTATGGTGTCACACCAGCACAGCTCACTTCATAAAGGCCAGAATGATGCCCATGGGCACTGTAGTCAAATCCCATGTATACTTAGCAGTTTTTGTTAAAACCCACCCTTAAAGATCTGCTCAGGAGAAAGACAAGCCCCGCACTGAGGAGTCTACACCAAATGTGTTCTGAGAAGCACTAAGTACACACCAAGAAGCAAAAAAATGAGCTTTCAATGCTATCTCTAGAAGGCATATCCTTCCTGGGAAGGGCTGGTGCAGCCTTATCAGTACGTTGTTCTAAGAAGCTGTTTAAGCTGAGGCTATCTTCAATTGGATTCCTTTCTTTCAAGACAGGGTCTCAGTGTGTATCCTAGCTGGCTTGGAATTTGCTATGTAGACCAGGCTAGTCTGGAATTCACAAGGATTTGCCAGTCTCGGCCTTCTTAGTGCTGGGATTAAAGGTGTATGTCACCTTGTCCTACTTTAACTGGAATCTTAGTAAGGCCTAGTAGGCTAACATACTGCATATTTGGGAAGAGGGGGGCAATAAATAAATAAGGCTCAAAACCAGTAACCATCTAATTGTAAAGTGTAAGGTTCTTGCTATTTAAACATAGATTTAATGTAAACAGACAAAAGGAAACATCCTGCTTACCTGCTCTCCATCTCACAGTTACAGGACATAGTAATGCTGAATCAGGACTCATAATCATATTTAGTATGCAGTACCACCTATATCCAACTTTCAGACTTTGAGTTAGGTTACTACAATCAAAATTGCTTCTCAAGGCCATTCACAATTCCTAGCTATACCTGTGGTTTTCAAACTGAATTAAATTAACTGTCTCGTTTAAAGTAATTAAGCCTTATAATGCAATCTTCCATGATATATAAAAGAGATAAAGCTGAGATATTGTCCTAGTGGTTTGGAACCTGTCCACCACCTAGGTGACAGATCCAAAGCACACACTTTGAAACCACCAAAACCCTATTAGTGGTTACATGCTTTAAAAATACTCATTACAAATAAGGGACAATGTAAGTTTGTACACCATTGTACTATTTATTGAACTTAGAAAGAACTGGAATCTTTACTTCAAAATTTCAGTCCAATGAGCTGAAATCATAAGTATAAAACACTGGCTCCTTTTAACGACTAATAAGTTATCCCATTTGGGTAATTACATTAACATTTTCACAAAAAAAGAACAGTGTAAGTCATACATGGGCTTTACTTTACAGAAATCAATTTCTTTTCTTTTAACCACTTCAGTTTTTTGAGACAGTTTCTTGCAGTCCTGGCTGGCCTTGAACTTGTGGTCCTTCTGCCTTTATCTCCCAAATGCTGAGATCACAGGTTTGTGCCATCACATATGGCTAAGAACCAATTTTATTCTTGGTGTTTTCTGGTCTCCCCTCTACTGCCTCCTTTCTTATTTTTAAAGATAGGAACTTGCTATATGGTATTGGCTGGCTTCAAACTTTTGAGCCTCTTGCCTCAGCTTCCTGAGCACTGTGTGTGATGTAATGTCCTGCAGAATACAATTTTTTGTTGTTTTTTAAACTAAACCTTGACCAACTGTCACTTGACTATCCCAAAAAGAAGAATTTTCCTTCAATAGCATGTTTAGAAAAGAAATAAAAATGTGTAGTAGAAATAGTTTGCTCATAGTTTCAACTGCCTCTACCAAAATTCTGTTTAGGAAAGGGAAAATGTATTCAGTGTACAACTGAGTCAACATACAATTTATTTTTCTATGGTAACAGATTTTCAAATTGAACTTTTAAAGTACATTTAACTACAAAAGTAAAATTAAATAAGTATTTATAAAATATATTTACCCTAAAATGGTTAAGCATATAAAGTTGTAATGCCCATTTCAACAGTATATTACATATTACACACATCATTTAAAGAATATTTTCTTTCCATTGATAACGTAGGAAAAAACCACAATGTTTATTGCTTATATCAAGTGCAGGTTAAAATCCAGAAAGCCTCCAAAAGCCAATCCTTGTAATAAGGGTTTCTCAATATTGGTCAGTGAAGCGTGATGCTCGACATGTGTGAACACAGCTGTAAGATGTAAGTTTTCAACAAGCACATTTGTCTTTATTGAGTCATTGACAGTTTGGGTCTCAGAGGAACCTGCAATAATGAGTCCTGAGATGCTGGGCTTGTGACTGTAAATATCCCTTATCTGGTTGATGTCTAGTCTACTGCAACGTTTCTGGGGTATGACGCATTTGCTAACAAACCCTTGAGATTAATGCAGCACTGTCACCTGCCAGTGCATAAAGATGCTGGGTAAAAACTGTTTATTTATAGGACATGTCACTGAAAAAACAGTGTCCAGCCAACCAAAGCGCCAACCAAAATGACTGACACAAACCCCATCCTAGTGAGAATAGGTTGCCAATATAACCACCTTTTTCTTTTTCGTTCAGTTTCATTTAGCCTCTGTTTCATCTGCTGCACCTTCTGAGCTGTAGTGGCCTTTCTGTCCTCTCGAATACGTTTCCGCAGAATACTGTGAATAGACAGAAACAAATTAAAGTGTCTGCACAGCAGGCCTTAATTGCAGGGACATAGGGGCCTGGCCACCAATAAAACCATGGACATTCACATATTTTACATCTCATTTAAACAATGTAGCAATAAAGGGAGAAGATCAAACTGTTCCACATAGCCAACGTCGTGCTCTTACAATTCAGGTACAATTTCTGGTATACTTATAATAATACTTTACCAGGACCTGAAGGTAAGCCAGACATTTTTTCAAAACTGTTTGCTTCCTCCTCTTTCCTTTCTCTCCTTCCCAACCAGCAGAGAGGGGACACACTCGAGGTTCTCCAGCATCTGGTCCCTTTTGTTATAGCATACAAAAGCTCAAAGTCCTTTGACAAATACTCTTGACTTTCTATGAATGCTCTGTTTAGAGAGTACTCACTTTTCTATTTGCCCATACAAATTTCTAGCTCCAATCTTCCTGTACAACATAGAATTTTGTTTCACTGAAAGCTCTTGGACACCCAGGGCAACTAGTCCTGAATTCACAGAAGAATGGCCAATGTCAACATGTCAGCCACTGAACTCTTCCTCTAGAAAAACTGCTTTTTTCCTGATGCAGAGGACTGAGCCCAGGACACTGTGTATATTGAATGTGAGTTCTACCACTGAGCTATTCCCACAGTCCCAGGGAGGTGAATTTTGACTAAATTCATGGAACCCCTCAGCATCCTAATCTTAACAAATACAACATAACACTTCCCATAATAAAAAACATAAAATAAGTCATTCAGAAAAAGAGTTCATGTGTGAGATGCTGTGGACACACAGTTGTTTCATGTAATTTTGGAGAAAAATATTCCACAATGGAAATATGTTTAGCTTTTTTCTAATTAGGTACATTGTCAATTATAGGTGTAATATAAATACTTAGCAATTACAAATATCCACTCATATTACTCATTTTGTCTTACACTATTTTATCACCAAATTATAGCAACTGCTAAACACAAGCAATATTATTTAAGTAGTTTCTATGAATTGGCTTTTAAATTTATCAGTACCGTGTTTTCAATTTTTTTTTTTATGTTGGTGCTAGAGAGACAGGTCAGCGGTTAAGAACACTTGCTGCAAATGGGTGGGGTTGAATTCCCAACACTCAATTGGTACCTCACACCTGTCTCTAACTCTAGTTTAAGAGGATCTCACATCCTCTTCTGGCCCCTGTGGGCACCAAGCACAGGTGCCGTAGATATGTATCCAAAATACTCATGAACGTAAAATAAGTAATTCTTAAACAAACAAACAAAAAATGCCCAAGGATGCTTGAGGACTTTGGATCCCCTGGAAATGGAATAACAGTTGGTTGTGAGTCATCTGATTTGGGTGATAGGAACCGAACTCAGGTCCACTAAAAAGAGCAGTAAGTGCTCTTACACACTGAATCATCTCTCTAATGTTGTTCTTGCTTTCTTTTTTTTTCTAGACAAGTTATCTCTGTAGCCCAGGCTGTCCTGGAGCTCGCTCTATAGACCAGACTGGTCTCAAACTCACAGAGGGCTGGGATTAAAGGTGTGGGCCACCACAGACCAGATTGTACTGACAGAAAACTCTTTGACAATATTTATGCCATCAAATACCACCCAAACCCTTTGACATTAGTAAAAGGTCACAGTAACTGTATCAACAAAGAGTCTATATTATTTCACACTCCTGAATTTATTAAAGAGCCTCATCTTTCTCAGTAGGTCATATGGCACATACCTCTCATTGTTCTCTTCCACATTATCCTGAATCTTAGGAGAAAGTCCTGTTAGTTTTTCCTCTTCTGAAATTATTCTCTTTCCATTGTACTTTTCAGTCATTGTTCTGTTTTGTGAGTGATCACAAACAGGAGATACATCTTCTTTAGAAAGTTCTCTCCACCGTTTCTAGGTAGAGAAGAGAAGTAGTGTGTGGAATAATCTTTTTGTACACTGTGAAGATTGTCATGTGAATTGGTTTAATAAAAGGCTAAAAAGCTAATAGCTAGGCAGGATTTTCAGGGAAGAGAGAATGCTAGGAAGAAGTTGGATACTAGAGGAGACACGGAGGAAGCAGGAAAGCAGGATTGGTGTTATGTAGATAAGGTAAACAAGCCTTGGAGAAGCACATAGATTAATAGAAATAAATGTGTTAATTTAAGTTATAAGAGCTACCTAAAAACAAGAATAAGCTAGCAGCCAAACTTTCATAATTTGTAATTCTCCGTGTTACCATTTGGGAGATGGCTGGCTTGAGAGAAAAATCAATATGTCGCCCAACGTCTGGCCACATATATCCACATAAAGCCCAAAACAACTTAAAAAAAAAAAAAAAATCAAACCAGGGAGTCAAAGGCAGCTTCCGGGCAACCACAGTTCTTGGGTATGCTTGGCGAGATACAGCTACCAGTCACTGCCTGAGTGAAGGCTGTAGCCAGCCATTGGTGCCATGCACCAGCACCATGTGCTGAACTGAGCTGCACAGTGGCTAACAGAGAACACTGTAGATGCTTAGTAAGAGAGATCAAGGGGGCTGGAAAGATGCATCAACAGTTAAGAGCACTGGCTGCTCTTCCAGAGGACCCTGATTTAATTCCCAGCAACTACATTTGTCTGTATCTCCAGTTTCACATGAAATAATTTTTTTTTTTTTTTAAAGATCCAGATGGGAAAAAAACCTTTAAATAGGTTCCAGTGTTTCATTGTGTTTAACAAAGTGCATAGGCTTAAGAAAGAAAAGAGGAAGCCAGGTGGTGTCGGTGCACACCTTTAATCCCAGCACTCGGGAGGCAGAGGCAGGTGCCAGCCTGGTCTACAAGAGCAAGCTCCAGGTCTACAAGAGAAACCCTGTCTCGAAAAAACAAACAACAAAAAACAAAAAGGAAGGAAAGAGGGAAGAAGTATAAACAGTAAACAGTTTATAAATAATGAAATAAAGTCTTTAAAGAGAGTCGTTAACCCCCCCTACACACACACGCACGCACGCACGCACGCACGCACACACGCACGCACGCACGCGCATAGAGAGAGAGAGAGAGAGAGAGAGAGACAGAAATGGGAACTACACAGAGAATCTGGATCCTATATGGTGTTGGTGTTATATTGACTTTAAGTTTTGATTGTTGATGAATAAACAATAGCTGCTGAGACACTGGATTATAGAAATTACTAAATTAAACTATCCTATATATTTTTTTAAATGTCTTAATTTCAAAATGGAAGTTAAAAAAATGTATTGCTTTGGGGAAGAGGTTATCCTTTTGTTGCAGTTTCCTCAGAATTCTGCATCCAGAACAGCTTCAAAGTTGCTTGCTGAGATGGTCCAACCTCATAGACTTCCAGACAGGACTTCAGCTAAACCCTACATTTTCCCATCACACAGAGACTGGATAACAGCTAGCTCCCCCAGGATTTGACCATCATCTTAATTTTCTCAGGGTCCTCTAAAGATGCCAGAGATACCAGACAACAGGAAGCAATCTAGAAAACTTGTGCCCACAATACCAAAAGGTGGGGTGGATAGTTTTGGTTGTTTGGTGGGTATGGATGTATGGATATATGAAAGTCAGACTAGGAGAATTCTGGGAGATAAAGGGCAGAGTTGCCAACAAATGCAGAAAACAAAATGAAAATGCTGTACTGAAAAAAAGAGATCCCTGAATCTAATCTCCTTTGCTCAGCCTATTTTTTTGGTCTGACAGGACCGATATGCAAATGGATGTTTCCTGTCCCAGAGTCAGTCCCAAATACCCAGCAGCATCTTCCAAAATTACCACATAGAAGCTTACATTACTTACAAATGCTTGGTTGATAGCTCAGGCTTATTACTAGTTAACTCTTACACTTAAATTAACCCATAATTCTTATCAGTTACTGACTTACCTCTCTGCCTCTTGAATGCTAGAACAGACAGACAACTGGTCTACCAAACATAGGACGTAGATAGAGTCTGGTTATCTGACATTAGTGACAGTGATTTACCTGTATACTCGAATCTCCTTTTATGTACTTTGCGCCTTCTATTATGGCCATATAGGAGAATCTGAGCTGGTCTGGTGTCTGAATAAGTCCCATTCGATACTTTCTCATTTTCAGTAATATTTGTTTCACATTAACATCCTCTCCTTTTTCCATCTGCAAGAAAGGCAAAACCAAGTTGTCTGAGTTGAGAGAACATAAACAATACAAGGCGACTGCTTAGATCTCATAAATAAAAAATGATTTGACACACGGTGGCAACCACCCATTATTCTTACACACTGGGTTGAGGGGCTTCTGAGTCTCTAGATGACTCAACCAATTCCAAAACCATCCCCTCACACCCGATGGTTTTTCAAGACAAGATTTCTCTGTGTTACAGCTCTGACTGTCCTAGAACTCACTCTGTAGACCAGGCCTCGTACTCAGAGATCTGCCTGCCTCTGCCTCCTGAATTCTGGGGTTAAAAGGCATGCACCACTACTACATAGCTGTTCAAATTTTTTTAAATTATAAATTATATTGTACATGTATATATGACGTATGGATATATTTGTGAAGGTGCATGCATGTACATGTGTGTATGGAGGCCAGTGGCAGACATCAGATATCTTCCTCAATTGCTCTTTTTCTTTTGAGACAGGGTCTCTATTATGTAGCTCTGGCTGTTCTGAAATTTGCTAAGTAGACCAGGCTGGTCTAGAACTCAGAGACTCTTCTGCCTCTGTGGGATTAAAGATGTATGCCACCACACCTGGAGTTGTCTTGTTTTGTGAGACAGGATCTCTTACTGGACCTGGAACTCAATGATTTAGGTAAGCTGGCTGGTCAGTGGGATCTAAGGATCCACCTGACTCCATTTCTCCCCAAGTTCTGATATTACAAACATGCGTTACTGTGTCTGGCTTCTAAGTGTGTGCTGTGAACCTGAACTTAAGTCCTCATGCTTGCCAGCCATCTCCCCAGTTCAGACTGGCATTTCTTTTTTGAGGTAGGATCTTACTAGGTAACCCTTTCGACCTCAGATGCTGAGATGATAGACACACACTACTACATCAACATTTTTTTTCCCTTTCTACAAGGAAGTGCAAGTTTGACCTAAAAAATCCTAGAGTTTTGGGATATGACATTAGAACCTACTGCTGCCTGTAGAAACAGTTAAAAACAAATTAAAGGGTGAGGTGGGTAAGAGAATTGGCTGCTAATGCAGAGTACCAGGGTTTGGTTCCAAGCACCCACAAATGTCTTACAATTACATGCAACTCCAGTTTTGGGAATCAATACTTTATTCTGACATCTTCAGGCACTTGTCATGGTACACAAGCATAAGGCTTATCAGTTGGGGTGGTTGTGGTGGTGGTGGTGGTGGTGGTGGTGGTGGTGGTGGTACACACCTTTAATCCCAGCACTAGGAGGCAGAAGAAGGCAAACCTCTGAGTTCGAGGCCAGCCAGGTCTACAGTTCCAAGACAGCCAGAGCAACACAGGGAACTCTATCTCAAAAAAACAAAAACAAAAAAAAGTTTATCTTTCCTTCCTTCATTAATACTATAAAACCATAAAACAAAGCAAAACCAAAACAGCCCAGGCAGAGTGGTGCACATCTTTAATCCCAGCACTTGAGAGGCAGAGGCAAGTGAATCTCTCTGTGAGTTTGAGGCTAGCCTGGTCTACAAGGTGAGTTCCAGGACAGCCAAGGTTATTGCACAGAGAAACCCTGTCTGGAAAAGCCAAACCAAACTAAAAAAAACCCACAAAATTGAAATGAGGTACCATGAACACTTACCAGAATAAGACAGGTGTCTACGAGGGAGAAGGTGCCAGAGCGGCCAATGCCTGCACTGCAATGGATCACTGCAGGCCCATGCTCCGGGTTCAAGGAGCCAGACTCTCTAACTTTAAACAAGAAATTTAGGAATGAAGCTGGTGACTCAGGAACTCCAAAATCTGGCCAGGTGGTATAATGAAAGTGCGATATAGTTCTGGTTTCACCACTCTGAAATGTGAAAAAAACAAGGGGATGTTAGCTCTAATTTTTCTTGTTAATATATTTTCTTAGATTTATTTATCTTATGCATATCAGTGCTTTATCTTCATGTACACCTAAACATCAGAACCCATTATTGATGACTGTGAGCCACCATGAGGTTGCTGGGAATTGAACTCATGATCTCTGGAAGAGCAACCAGTACTAACCACTGAGAATCTCTGCAGCCCCCTCATTTTTCTTATCCAAACACATAATTATTGCTGCAGAAGCATGTTTTGGGAACATACAAAAACAAAACAAAACAAAACAAAAATAGAGATAGGGCTGCAGCAGTGAAGAGTGTTTGCCTTATATATAGAAAGCCCTGGCTCATATACCAAACCCTGGCTGAATGCCTAGCAACACATAAAACTGAGTGTAGTGGTCCATGTCTGTAACCACAGCATTCAGGAGACAGGAAGACTGAAGTTCAAGGCCATCTTTGACTATATAGGGATTTCAAGGAGAGATTCATGGACATCTGGAGAAAATATTCATGATATGATATGCTACACTTGCTTTAGCATTTTCTTTCCAACTCAATAAAGTCACATTTCTGTATGGTCACTTCCAAGTTTGATACATGTTTTTTTTGACCTTTGGGCTACTGTCAACAGTAGTTAAGTACCAGGAGTTATCATACTGAGCCTACTGGAATGAAATGTTTTATATACATTCTTGCTTTCATTTGATCTCCACAACAGCCTGAAAATATACAATTTCCATCTCATAGATGAGGAAACTACACCTCTACTAAGCAGCAGAACTGGAATGTGAATTCAAGTTTGCTCCAGTGATCCTCTCTTTATTCCCAAGTATGTTTTACATTTTCTTGGTGATGGATACTGATCCCCAAACCTTCAGGCATGCTAAGAAGACACCTTATAATTCAGCTATTCACTACCCACTTAGGTTTTAGTTTTTGGTTCTCAGGACTTAATCTAGGGCCTAGAGTATACGGAGCAAGTGCTTGACCACCAAACTATACCCACAACATCCCTTTCTGTATTTTTAGCAATCTTTCTCTCTCCCTCCCTCCCTCCCTCTCCCTCTCTCCCCTTTTTCTTCTTCTTTTTCCAAGAAAGTGTTTCTCTGAAGTGCTAGCTATCTTGAAACTCACTCTGTAGTCCAGGATGGCCTTGAACTCACAGATCCACCTGTCTCCCAGATGCTGGAATTAAAGACAAGTATCACCACCATGTGGCATAATTATTTTTTGTTTTAAAATATATTTATTTGCATTTCTGTGTATGTTTGAATGTCTGCATACATATCTATGAGCATTATGTATGTGCCAGAGGCTGAAGGCCAGAAGAGGGAACTGGTTTCCCTAGCGCCAGAGTTATAGGCAGTAGTAAGCCTTTCAGCATGGGTCCTGGGAATTAAACCTGAACCTTCTGCAAGAACAGCATGTATTCTTAAACACTGAGGCATCTCTCCGGCTCCAATAATTAATTTTCAATCTTCAAATATTAATATTAACCTGAACATTGTAATACTTTGTTTTTAGGATTTCTTCAGTTACTTTATATAGAAATACAATCTAAACATGTTTATAACTAGATATTATTACAAATATTCAAATCCAAGTACAGTACCAAACCTAGTAATACAAAATTCTTAAAACCATCAGATAAAATGGAAACTCTGAAAGCAGAAAAGCCTTACATTGGTATTTTCTAACTGCAGTAGATGTACTGTATAATATGACTTCACATCTTCAGATAAGAGTTTCACACTAAATCCTGTTTCCTTAAACAGCATCTCTCGGTCTTCGGTTGGCCAGTATTGTGCACATTTAACCTACATTTAAGAATAACAGTTTAGACATATTGTGAAACCACAAAATAAAAACAAACCTCACAAATACACAGTATACTTGTGCAGGTACCGAATCCTAAGAATATCTGAAGTATTTTAATGAGAATGACATTTTGTAAAGTAGTTTCATAAATGGTTCCTTTAAATTTAAAAAAACATAAACAGATAACATGTTCATAAAAATGTGCTATTCTTCTTTTTTATTTTGAAACAGGGTCTCTTTATATAGTACTGGCTATCCTGGACATCACTGTGTAGATCAGGCTGTGAACTCACAGAGATCCACCAGCATCAGCTTCCTGAATGCTGGGATTAAAGGCACAGGCCATCACACCCTGCTAAAGTGTGCTATTCTTAAAGCATAATTACATTTTAACAGATTCAATTTGGGTTTCTAAAATATCAGGCTCATGAAAGAATCTTATCCTCAGCAAGCACCAAAGAGGCTTTCTTTCAATCCAGTCAGTGGTGACACACTCTTTTAATCCCAGTACTTGGGAGACAGAGGCATGCAGATCTCTAAATTCAAGGCCAGCCTGGTCTACAGAGTGAGTTCCAGAACAGCCAACCAGAAGAATCAGAAGCCCCCCCACACACACACACCTAGAATTGTTAGGCAAGTTAAGTATAACAAATAAAGCATAAGAGGGCTATGAGTACATTTTATAGTAAAGAAAGAAACAGAAATAGTATTAAGGAGAACAGGGCAAATGCAAAAGAAAATCCAACATATGCATACCAGAGGGGCCCAAAGAACACCAACAACAACAGGAGCAGAACAGATACTATGATTTAATAATCCTTTCATTTTTTAAAAAAGGCATTTGAAACTACATACTGAAAGGTCAAAACTACCTGCAAAAACTCATCAAACGTTAAGATATATTTTGGAAAAATAAATGTTAAAGAAAAAGGGAGAGGGGATAGAGAGATGGCTCAGGGATTGAGAACACTTGTTGCTGTTGCAAACGACCTGGGTTTGATTCCCAGCACCCATATGATGGTACACAACCATCCATAAACCCAGTTCCAGAGATCTAACATGGAAACACATGGCACATATATACTGGCAAAACATTCATATACCTAATATAAAATAAATTAAAGAAAAAAAAAAGAAAGAAAGAAGATGGGCTGGAGAGATGGCTCAGAGGTTAAGAGCACTGGCTGCTCTTCCAGAGGTCCTGAGTTCAATTCCCAGCAACCACATAGTGTCTCACAAGCATCTGTAATGAGATCTGGTGCCCTCTGCTGGCATGCAGGCATACATGCAGGCAGAATACTATATACATAATAAATAAATAAATAAATCTTTAGAAGACACAAGAAAAAGGGTGAAAACCCTTTTGACTAATAAAGGCATAATAAATAATGGATTTAAATATGAAATAACACCCATTTGACTTGAATAGTAATCTATAATGCTAAAAAAGAAATGAATGTATTTTAGCTCAAAGAAAAGCAAGTAAGAGCCATTAATTTTGTTTTAATTTTATGTGCATGGGTGTTTTGCCTGCATGTATGTCTGTGTGAGAGTGTCAGGTTCCCTGGAACTGGAGTTATAGACACTTGTGAGCTGCCATGTGGGTGCTGAGAATTGAACCCAGGTCCTGTGGAAGAGCAGTTAGTGCTCTTAACCATTGAGCTCCAGCCTCTGAGCCAAAGTAACTTTTAAGTACTAAAATACCAGATGCATTTTCAGTGACATGTAAGAAATCAGAGATTAAAATGTCCACAAGGGGCTAGAGAGATGGCTCAGCAGTTAGCAGCACTTGTTCACGCACACGACCCAGGTTTGATTCCCAGAACCTACGTGGTGGCTCATACCATGCCTTACTCCAGTTCCAGGGGATTGATGCTTTTCTCTGATCTCTCAGGGTACCAGACACATATGTGGCACACACACACACATTTGGGCAACACACTCATACACATAAAAGGAAATAAGTAAGTCTTTAAAAAAAAAATGTAATGCCCATGAGTAAGTAGTTCCTTATGACTTAACAATGAGTATTAGAGTAAGTGAACAGATACCAACAAAGACTGGTGATGAATATTAAATACACCCAGATGGTCCTCTTAAACATCCAATTCTTTTTTTTCTTTTTTTCTTTTTTTAAAGAGACAGGGTTTCTAGACCAGGCTGTCCCTGAACTCAGAGAGATCCTCCTGCCTCTGTCTCTCAAGTGCTGGGATTTAAGAAAGGCATGCACCACCACTACCCAGCTGAACATCCAATTCTTAAATGTTCTGGAACCAATCTCCCACAGGTATGAAGCATGTGGATAGAATTTAGATTAAAAGAGGGATATGGGAAATATTACATTCTCTAGATAAAAGTACAACTAAAAACAACAAAAAGAAGGTGGCTGGAGAGATGGTTCAGTGATTAAGAGCACTTGCTGCTCTTGAAACAGGACACAAGTTTGGTTTCCAGCACGCACATGGCTGCTCACAACTCCAGTTCCAAGGGAATAAAATGCCTCTTCTACACTCAGGCGCCAAGCATGCACACGCACACAAACATACAAGCTCATACACATAATATCATACACATAAAAATAAAAGTAAATTCCTGGGCAGTGGTGGCATATGCCTTTAATGCCAGCACTTGGGAGAGACTGGCAGATCACTGTGAGTTCAAAGACAGCCTGGTCTACAGAGTGAGTTCCAGTACAGTCAGGTCTGTTAAAGAGAAGCACTGTCAATAGGAAGGAAGGAGGGAGGAAGGGAAGAGAGAATTAAATAAACAAAAATGCAAATATACAACAGTTAATTAATCCTAAAAGGAAAAAAATTTAAAAGAGAGACTGAGGAAAATATATTAAAATGTCAAACTATACTCAATAATTATTCTGGATGACAATGTTACTCAAACTGTTTTCAGTGATATTAGGAAAGGCAAAATGAGTCATCACACAATTCTGATGTCTGATATACTGGATATTTTTGGTATATTTCTGATGTCTTTTTGAAACGGGATTTTCTGGAAGGGAAAAAAGCAGCAGACTTAAGACATACAGAGTAAAATCAACTTCTAAATTTCCAGATTTGAATTGGAAATATCAATGTGTGTATGACTGAGAACCTTTTTTTTTTTTTTTAAAGACAGGGTCTCTCTACATAGTCCTGGCTGTCCTGGAACTCTCTATGTAGACTAGAGGTTGGCCTTGAACTAAGAGATCTTCCTGCCTCTGCCTCCTGAGTGCTAGGAGTAAAGGCATGCCCCACCACATCCTGGCCTGAATCTATCTTAACACACACATTTTCCTTAGCTATATTCATTGAAAAATCTAAAGAATGATTGAGCTAATAGCAACACATGTCTTTACTTTGTAGTGATCAAGAAAAATTGTTGCTCAAAGTGCCAGGCATGATGGCATACCCCTTTAATGCCTGCAGAGAGTTCAAGGCCAAACAAGTTCCAAGACAGACAGGACTACATGAAGAGACCCTGTATTAAAAACAAAACAAAACAAAACACCCACTGCCCAATAAAAGAAACAGGCTGCTGAGGAATAAGTTATTTGAGGTCTGAGGTGTCAACAGCTGAGCCTGCAATTGGTAGGCATTCCAGAGAAAAGCAAGCTACTAAAGTCTCAACTCTACATTACAAAGATTAAAGCTCAACTTAAAAAATTTTGCTATCCAATGAAGGAGTTATTTGATCTCCAGTAAGTAAGTATAATATAAAGCAAAGGGATAAAATGAATCAAATCTTTTCCCCACCCTAGACAGGGTTTCTCTATGTAGACCTGGCTGTCCTGGAAATCACTTTGTAGACCAGGCTGTCCTCAAGAACTCAAGATGCACCTGCCTGTAACTCCTAAGTGCTGGAATTAACGGTGTGCAAGACCATCCAGCATAAATCGAACCTTTAAATTTAGAAATTCATCCACTCCTACCATTCCTTTTCAATAAAAACCAAAAAGCCAGGGTTGGGTGTAGTGACATATGCTTTAATCTCAGCACCTGGGAGGCAGAAGATGACTCTGAGAGTTCAAGGCTAACATAGTCTACACAAGAGTTGCAGGCCAGCCAGTACTTCATAATAAGACCATATCTTAGACCCCCTGAACATGGGTGTCAGTGAAGAGGCCTCAGCAATCTATGCTGATACTCTCTCAGTCTAGACACATTGGGGGAGGACCCAGGCTTTTGAAGAATCCCCATGGAAGGCCTCACCCTCCCTAGGGAGCAGAAAGGGGATGGAATAGAGGGTTAGTGGGGGATAGGGGAGGAGGGGAGGGAGAGGGAACTGGAATTGACATGCAAAACAAATTTGTTTCTAATTTAAATTAAAAGGAAAAAAAAGGAGCCTAACTTAAAAAAAAAAAAAGCCCAACGAAACACCCCCCCAACAAAACAACAAAACCCAAAAAGCCCAAGCAATATACATAACACACAAAACAAAACAAACTCCAATTAGTCATCTGTTGATAATACTATGGAAGAAACCATGTTTGAAAACTCTTTGGCATGTGTTTAACAGCTGCTAAGTAGAAAGTTTTTCTGGTTTTTGTTGTTGTTGTTCATTTGGGGGTAGGGGGTGTTTCTATTTTTCAAGACAGTGTTTCTCTGCTTGTTTTGGCTATCCTGGAAATCACTCTGTAGACCAGGCTGGCCTGAACTCACAAAGGTCCACCTGCCTCTGCCTCCCCAGTGCTGGGATCAAAGGTGTGAGCCACCATTGTCCGGCTGGCTCTTGTTTTTGATTTTTTGTTGAAGCATTCCACTAAAACTAGACAAGGAAAGAATTGATGATCTTGTAAGCAAAAATTAATTAGAGGTAAAAAAATTGACTAACAAAGATGTGTAGGTCATTAGAACAAACAAGCAGACATTACAGGCCTTTTGATGAAGGCCTGTAATTAGTTATTACTTAGTAAGAATTCCCAGCCCACAAAAGAATCCTTCAACTCCATCTAGATATATCCACAAGTATCATTTATAGGTTTTGGTGGTACTCTGAGGGAATCAATAAAGAAATTTTACTTTGAAGTGAGAAGGGCAAAATTTACACATCATTTCAAAATTACACTGGCTCCACATTCAAACAAAACAATGTCGAAACCACTGAACTTTTAGATGAGTTTGGAAAATATGGAAAACAAGTACAGATGGCTATGTTGACACTATTGGAAATTTTTGTTATGTCAATGTCAAGACAAATTAAAAAAAACAAAAACAAAAACAAAACATATACTATCACCAAATCTATGAATTTAGGAAAAATTAAGAATAGCATAGTGCCGGGGAGTGGTGGCGCACGCCTTTAATCCCAGCACTCGGGAGGCAGAGGCAGGTGGTTCAAAGCCTGGTTTACAGAGCAAGTGCCAGGAGAGGCTCCAAAGCTACACAGAGAAACCTGTCTCAAAAAAAAAAAAAAAAAAGCATGGTATATTACAGCTGGAAGAGATCTTAAGAGTCAGTATTCCTAATGTCTGACAGAAAATGATTCTAAACCACATAAAACTTAGTTACACCACTAACTGCCCCAGTTCTTAAGGTTACTGGGTTATCTGATATGAATCTCCACACTTTTCCTTCCTTCCCCATCTCTCTCTTTCTTAGACACAGTCTTACTTGGTCTGGCCTGGAACTCACAGAGATCTGCCTGCCTCTACCTATGCCTCCTGAATGCATCACTGCACCTGGCCCTTTTTATTTTTAAAAGAGAATACTTACTTTAAATTGTGTGCTCTGTGAGTATGTGCCTATGAATACAGGTATCTTGTGAGTTCAAAAGAGGGGTACTGAAACCCCCGAAGATAAGAGTTACATATGGCTTTGAGTTGCCCAACTTGGGTGTTAGGGTGCTAGGGTTGTCTGCAAGAACAGTATTTGCTCTTAACTCCTGCACCCGACACTATTTCTTTACCTCTCCCCTTTCACTCTACCTTTAAGCAAAACTGTCTCACCTTTCTACTTGTCCCTGTTGTCTCCCTCCTACTATTCACTTCCCCTTTCCTCTAGATTTTCTTTATCAATCTAATACCAACCTAATGTTACTCTGATATTTTTCTTTTTTCTTTGCCACTCATACCCATAGTGTCTCAGCACACAACCATTCTAAAAGGAATCCTTTAATTTCTAAAACAGCTGGAGTTCGTGTGGTGATTGCTACTTGATTATTTCTATATGTGAGCAGTGGATTTACTCTTAAATAGTGATTTACACTGGCACTATTATTCTTTCAAGCGATTATTGGGTATTGAACCTAGCGTTCAACACCTGGTGTTCAACAGCCCAGTAGATAAAACAACACCTTCACTCTATTACAACCTAGTTCCTCTTCAACATGGCAAGCATTAACACAGAAAAAGATAAACAAAATCAACTAGACAAAAATAATAACAAACCTCACCTCAGATGCACAAATGCAAAAGAGAAACAAGGGAAACATGAGAAGTCAAGGCAGTATGATATCTCCAAAACTTACTAGTCCCACAGTAATGTCATTTAATCAGAGGAAATTCCAAAGAAATCAAAGAGGGGACTGAGGAGACAGCTTAGTGGGTAAAGTGGTCACTGCATAAACACCAGAAGTTATAGACTGGATCCCAGTACCACAGAATAAAGCTGGGCACAGAGGTGAGCACACAGATGTGGGGTAGCAGACACAAGTGAATCCCAGGGGCTTAATGGCCAATCAGTATAGCCCATTTGTGAGCTCCAGGTTCAGTGAGACAATCTTTCACCACAGATAGGCCATCCTGACAAAAACTGATCGGAGTTAAATACCACACATTAAATGGACACTCTGCAAACATCACAGATTACATGTTCTTAGCAGCAGCCCAAGAAACTTCCTTTAAATGAGATCACTGTTGTGGAATACTGTCCTCTAGGATGAGACACCACTGTGCTTTAGAACTTCAGCAGCCGTGATTACCCATAGGAGATCTGTACTGGATTGAGCCCTTTAACACTCCATCATGGACAGAGGACCTCGCAAGGCTCTTCTCTTAAGTTTATAGACAGTTAACAGTGGCTGAGGAAAAAGAGATGTTTTTCGAGACATGGTCTCACCAGGTAGCTCTTGCTGCCCTGAAACTCATTATGTACACCAGGCAGGCCTTGAATTCAGAGATCCTGTTTGCCTCTGGAGTACTGGGATCAAAGTTATGCACCATCATGGCTGGCTTTCAGAGAGATTTTTTTTTGGGGGGGAGGGGAATGGAATCACTTATAAATTGCCAATGTTTCTAAAACTAACCTCACACCTATGCTACTGTAAACAATGCTGTTCACTAGCCGCCAAACTACACTTGAGTGCAACTATCTGTTTCTATCACTGATGCCCTATCTGGAGTGAGCAGATGCTTGTCTCACTGGAAAATTCACACAACATTCTTATAGAAAGCAAGACTTTTTTTTTTTTTTTTTTTCGAGACAGGGTTTCTCTGTGTAGCTTTGGAGCCTATCCTGGCTCTGGATACCAGATCTGGAAACCAGGCTGGCTTTGAACTCACAGAGATCCGCCTGCCTCTGCCTCCCGAGTGCTGGGGTTAAAGGCGTGTGCCACCAACGCCCAGCTTCTTCTTCCTTTTTAAAAGACAGAATATTGCTAAGTGGATCACCCTGTCTTTGAACTACTGCCAACAACGCCCATCTAGAAAGCAAGTCTTAAGGAAAACTGAATAGCTTATACTCCACTTGACCTCAATGGGATAAAACTATAAAGCAACAAGAAAAACTAGAAAACATACAAAGATTTATAGATTGAAAACAAAACACCAAAAAGAAACAAACAAAAAACCACAACTGAATGAGAAATGGGTCGATGAAGAAATCAAAGTGAACAAAAATATGTACAGAATTACATGAGAAATTAAAACATAAAATTACAAACCCTGTGGAATACAATGAAAGCAGTCCTTGAGGGAAGTTTATAGCTGTAAGTGCCTATCATAAAAGTAAGTACATAAATACATCAGAAATATCTCAATTAAATAATGATGTACCTGAGACTTTGGAAAAACAAAAACAAGCCAAGCCTGAAAGTAGTAGATGGTAAGAATTAAGATCAGGGGGCTGGAGAGATGGCTCAGAGGTTAAGAGCACCGACTGCTCTTCCAGAGGTCCTGAGTTCAATCCCAGCAACCACATGGTGGCTCACAGCCATCCGTAATGAGATCTGGTGCCCTCCTCTGGTGTGCAGATATACATGGAAGAAGAATATTATATACATATTAAATAAATAAAATCTTAAAAAAAAAAAAGAATTAAGATCAGGGCAGAAACTAATGAAATGGAAACTAAAGAAACAATACAAAGAATCAGTGAAACAAATGCTTGCAAATTCACTTTATGAAACCAGCATTACTCTAATAGTAATGCTGGACAAAGACAGAACACACAAATAAAGTGATAGACTACTGTCTCTGGTGAATATAACTAGAAAATTCTCAATAATAATACTGCAAACTGAATTCAAGAACACAGAAAAGAGATCATTCACCATGATCAAGTTGGCTTCATTCCAGAGATGCAGGGATGGTTCAACATATGCAAATCAATAATCATACTCCACCACATAAATTGACTCAAGGACAGAAATCACATGATGTTGAAAAGACATCCCTTCATGATAAAAGTCCTAAAGAGACTAGGAATAAAAAGAACATATTTTAACATAATAAAGGCTATATATGACAAACCTATAGCTAATATCACAACATCACACCAAATGGAGAAAAATTCAAAACATTTTGGCTACAATCAGGACCAGGACAGAGGTTTTCATCTTTCTTTACTCTTATTCAATATGGCATTTGAACTTGGGTTTGTTGGCTTTTTTGGTTTTTTTTTTCCTTTTGAAAAATATTTATTGAGTATAAATAAATGTCCTATACATTAAATATCAAGAAATGTCCATTATTCATTACAAGTCAGGCTATAATACTGAGGGAACCATGGGATCAAAATAGCAACTCATGATACAGAGTGACAGTTCATTCCAACATTAGACAGAGTAATGATTTGCTCACATGACACAGCAAAACCTATCAAAAAAAACAAAAAAACAAAAAAAAACAAAGGCTACCACTTAAACCCACCTATAACACCACAATAGACAATGGTTTTGAAGCATACTATCCAGTCTCAATCTCATTAATAATCTCTACGTTATCAATGTATCAAGTCACATAGAGACTGTACTTCTACATAAAATTTAGAGTCTTATCTGCTTGGTTTTATTTCAAATTATTGTTAATGAGTGAAAACAAGTCATACAAAGTCAAAGAGACTTTTCTGTTAGTCTTTACTAAGAGGGAAAAAAACAATCAAGCTTTAGTAAAAGAAAGCTTCCCCCAAGCAATGAATTTCTTTTTTTTTTTTTTTTTAAGATTCTATTTATCTTATATGTATACAACATTCTGCGTCCATGTATATCTTCACACCAGAAGAGGGCACCAGATCTCATAATGGATGGTTGTGAGCCACCATGTGGTTGCTGGGAATTGAACTCAGGACCTCTGGAAGAGCAGTCAGTGTTCTTAACCTCTGAGCCATCTCTCCAGCCCCCTCAATGAATTTAATGGAAAAATTAAAATGCAGGAGCAATGTAATTAGCTTTTCCTCCAAAGAAAGGAAAGAAATCTAAATCTGTTTGGCAAATTGGGAAATACCTCCTAGTCCCAGAATACATTTTTTATGTCATGTGCTGGAATGCTGCAAGTTTAGAAAGCTGGAATCTGTGGGAGTCCAAATTCATCCACCAGCACTCCATCCTTGTTTTTCTGGAATTGCAGGTGCAGATGCTGCTTCGTCTAAGAACTTTCTTCATCAGCCAGAAGCTCATCACCCAGCGCATCCAACTCTGCTTCCAGGTCATCCTCATCTAACTCTGGGGTGCCGTAGCTGCGACCAAGTGCTTCATGGATTTCGTTTGCATCTTCCATCATATCTTCCAGCTTGTCTTGTAAATCCTCAATCTGGTCAACTTTTACATGTTTGTATGCCTTCTTCATTTCCTTTACTCCCAATCTGATGGCATCAACCATGGTCTTGATGTCCTTCAGTGACTGAATGGTGTAATTAGCCTGCTCCATGTTAAAGGACTGCTGGGAAAGGTTGTCTCGCTGCTGCTCATACATCCGCTTTTGCTTTAAAACCCTCAGGGCTTTCTGTTTGACCATGTTCTTGGCAGGGCCCTCTCTCATTTTCTTGATTTGATCCTTATATTTCACCAGCTCAACATCCAACCGGGAAATTGTTTTGTCAATGGATTCTGCCCTGCTATCCACCGTCCCAATGCAGTCAGTCAAGCTAGGCGACGGAGCCTTGGGCTTTGCTTTTCTGAAGAATGGGTTAATCTTGGCCAGTGGTGGAAAAAACCCAACACTGGATGAAAACCAGAAACGGAAGCGTAGTCGCTCTGGTTTCAGTTTCCGGCCCCGCCATGTGCAAGCCCAGAGTGCTCCAGTTTTGGGGGGTTTTGTTCATTTATTTATTTGTTTGTTTTTCAAAATAAGGTTTCTCTGTGTAATAGTCCTGGGTGTCCAGGAACTCACTTCATAGACCAGGCTGGCCTCAAACTCACAGGGATCCACCTGTCTGGTATTAAAGGCTTGAGTCACCACAGCCTAGTTTTTGTTTTTTTGTTTTTTTTTTTTTTTAAGATCTTACTTATTTATTATGTATACAACATTCTGCTTCCATGTATATCTGCACACCAGAAGAGGGCACCAGATCTCATTATTGATGGTTGTGGAGCCACCATGTGGTTGTTGGGAATTGAACTCAGGACCTCTGGAAGAACAGCTGGTGCTCTAACCTCTGAGCCATCTCTCCAGCCCCACCACAGCCCACTTTTAACTAGAGCAGTAACATAAGAGAAGGAAATGAAAGGGACACAAACAGGAAAGGAAGAAGCCTATGCATCCTTATATATTGATAAAATAATCCTACATGTAAGAGATTCTAAAAACTGGATCAGAAAATTCTTAGATTTGATGAACAGTTTTTACAAGTGTCAGAATACAAAATTAACATACAAAATCATTAGTCTTCCTATATATCAACAATAAACATGTTTGAGGATATTTGATCACACTGTGAACCCCAAGTTTGTGTTATTTACTGGAATAACCTGTTTCTAGTTGTGGCGTGGTTCAGCCCTAGCACATACCTTTACTCCAAGAGCTTTCTGCTTATTTTAAACAGGATTAAATAAAGTTAACCAAAATCAAGAGGTCCATCAAGCAAACAGTTGACAGGAAATAAACAAGAAAAAAAAAAAAAGAGTAAGAGGGAGTCAGGAAGGTGGATTGAGAGATGCACAAGAAGCAGAAGGGAGGGACATTCAGTTGGAGTTTTTTGTTTGAGATGAGAGAGGGGAAGTTTTTCCAGGATGTTGTCTGAGGAGGAAGGTCAACTGGGTGCTTTCTCTGTCTTTCTGAACTAGCAGACTTTTACCCCAACATCTGGCTCACAAGTCTTTATTGGTAAATTGGACCAATAAAATTTTGTTTAAAAAACTCAGGTAAAGAGATCTCTACAATACAAGCTACAATATTAAAAAAACAAAACAAAACAAACAAACAAACAAACAAACAAAAAAACTGAGGGGCGTAGAAGATGGAAAGACTTTCCCTGTTCACATATTAGAAGAATATTGTGGCTCAGTAAGAAAAAGTCTTCCTGGCCAGTCGTTAGTGGCCACGCCTTTAATCCCAGGACTGGGGAGGCAGAGGCAGGTGGATCGATGTGAGTTCGAGGTCAGCCAGGTCTCCAGAGCGAGTGCCAGGATAGGCTCCAAAGCTACACAGAGAAACCCTGTCTCGAAAAACCAAAAAAACAAAACAAAACAAAAAACCAAAAAAATCCCTGAAGTTTCAAAAGACCCTAAGGGGGAGGGGGCATCCAATTCTGAAAAACAAAACAAACTAAAACAAAAACAATCCTCAATAAT